CTCTCCTCTCCTCTCCTCTCCTCTCCTCTCCTCTCCTCTCCTCTCCTCTCTCACTCTTTCTTCCTTCATCCTGGCCTCAGGTGTTGGTCTGTGAAGTGCAACAGGTACAATTACAATGCACTCCAGATGTGAAATCCACTCTGTCCTGAGCCCTCTTTGCCTGGGTTGGGTCATGTCCTCCAGCCCCACAGAACACTGGTGGCTCTGCCAAGCCCCAGTGAGTTACAGCGCTTTGCTTATAGCTTTCTGGAAGGTCCTATCACCAACAGGGAGGACCCACCAAGGATTGCAGAAAACAGCTGGGTGTCCCCAGTATTAGGTACAGGAAAAACACCTGCCTTTGTATCTGGCAATGTAAACCATGTCTTGTAAACACCTTTATTGCCTCCACTAGTCATTCCCTGAGCACGCTCACCATGAGAGGACTCGGTCATCCTGTCTGGCAGCTCCAGATAACAGCTCTTGCTGCTGCAAGAGGAGTAATGCTGACTGCTGCTGCAGAGTGTCTGCCTGGCTGTCCTTGCTTTTTCCAGAGGGTGCCCTGGTCCATTCAGAGAAGGGTGTCAGTTGCTCTTGTATCATAACAGGTCAAGTCTTTAATGGAGAATACCTATCTTCAGCACATTCATCAAGCATCAGAGCTAGCAAATGCTAACTCAGTCTAAAACACCCCACCTAAAACCACCAGGACTTCTGACCAGAATTCTGTCTCTTGGGATCCTTCTCTCAAATGCCACCAGAGAAATTCATTATTTATGTGGAAAGACAAGTGAGGTCTTTTAGGAGGTCTTTACATAAAGTAGTTAAAATAATCACCAGCTCAGTTCAACTGGCCTTCAGTGTGTGAAGATCAATCCATTTCCCTCTGTATTTGTATAGATCTGGTAGGTGTCTCCATACTGTTCTGTTACTTTACAGACTGAATTCTCTTATCTATAAAACAACAAAGTAAACAACCCTAAGGCTTTTGACCTTTGAATTAAAATGTGCCTGGGACATCCTGAAAATCTTACTGAAAGCATCTGGTCTTTTAAAGGAGCTGATTAAATTCGTCAGCACATACAGGATCAGCTTTTTCTCAGTTTAAAGGGTCAGAGAAGAAAGTACAGTCAGAATCGCCAAGCAGGCGATTAATGAGATTCCAAAAAAATGTCAGGGCTAACAGAGGCGAGTGGGGCTGGGAAGTGGCTGGAGGCTGGGCCGGGGTGGGGGGGCGTTTTCAACCCAGGGCGGGGGCCCCCCCCCAGCCGTGGTGCTGGCCACAGCCATGCTCATCTGCTGCTGCTGGGAGGGGAATGGGCAGCCTTAGGCATCAGTTTTAGAGACAGAGATTTAAAAAATCTCAATCTGGAGTGGCAGAGCTGGGCTACCTCGCAGGAGGTGCTGGTTTCTGCCCTGAGCTCTGGTGCACAGATGGAGGTTCCCTGGGGTGCTGCGGCCAGGGCTTGCACCCATCCTGGGGCTGGCATCAGGCTGTGCACAGGAGTGGTGGGGCATAGTGGGTCCCAGCACTGCAGAGGGACAGCACTGTTGCCCCAAATCCCAAGAGCCCCTGCACAGGGCAGCATGATGGCCAGGGCACAGCTGCAGATCTGCCCTTCCCTAAGCAGGAGCCCGATCCTCACCACGCTGGAGGTGGCTGGTTTTTTTTTCACCTGCATGGCTCATCCCTCCAGCACCGTCTGTCCCTGTCCTCAGAGGCTGGCTGCAGGCCTGGGGAGACACGCGGGTAGGAGGTGGCAGGGCCACATGGGGTACATGTCACCAGGCGCGCAGCTCTCTAGGTGCTGAGCCCTGGGGATGGGTCACAGGGGAGCCTGGAGCAGAGCAGGCAGGCAGACAGGCAGCACACTGTCTTTTCTTAAGAAAAAAGAAAAAAGGTCTTTCTCCACAGTCTCTCTCTCTAATGTCTTGCACTAAACAACCTTTCTCCTATGGCTGCTGGAACCTCAAGAGGCAGCCACTGCATACATGTGCGTGTACATGTGTGTTGGTGTGTGTGCCGGGGGATGCACATGTGTGCACAAATGCACACGTACATATGTCCATGCACATGTGTGCATCTACGTGCACATGTCTCTGTGTGTCTGTGTGTGTGTGTGCACCGCACAGAAGAGGAGCAGATTAAAGCGTCAGGTCACATGGGAGCTACTGCTGGACGGACCCTACCTGGGATTTGGGCTCTTATAGTTAATAGGATCGCTGCAGCTCAAGGCCATCATCCCATCAAGATAAATGTCTCTAGTGCCCACTTTTAAGCAATACGAATTCAATTAGGCTAATTGGAAAACAAGTAAAGAAGGATTGCATTAATATAGCCTTAGAGCATGAGCCTCCACTCCCTCCCTCCGGAGGGACAGCTGAGCGTGCTGAACCTAAATGTCGGAGCGCTGGCAGCAGGTCTGTGCTGCTCACCACCCAGCAAGGGCTGCCCTGCTCCCAGTACAGCCACAGCTGACTCCATACCCACAGCCAGGACAGGAACTGGGGCAGCAGGCTCAATGGGGGCTCGGGTGCTGTGCTGCATGGGGGCCTGCTCAGTGGTATCTGTGGGAATCCTGCCTGCCACCAAGCACCTTGTAAGTGGTGAAGAGAACATGACCACTCTCCAAGGGTCAGAGAAAGAAAAATCTCACCAGAAAAAAGCAGGAGGTGGCTGTCAAGGCACAAGTGATGCAATGATGGGAGGAGGCAGTAGCTTCCTTACACATCATGCTTTCAAGAAGGTTCTTAAACTGCACACTTAGGAACTTCTGGGGAGAAAAAAAGCAAAGCCAGGGTTTGTTGGTTTTTTTTTTTAACAACCTGTTGGACAATACAGAGTATGCAAACTGCAGCATGGTACAGGTTCCTGCTGGGTGGGTACTTCCCCCTTTTCCTTGCCTGTCAACCTCTTGTCGATTTGCTGTCTGACCTTGAAAGTCCCGTTTATGTTTCAGGGAGGTGCTCCCTGCTGCACGTCACTGGTCTGGAGAGTGATGTCCCACCTGCAGAGTGACTTCAGCTTCAAACGTCTGCTCTGCAAGGCAGTAATTATTTCAGCTTGACATAAAGAAAAGACAGGAGGAAAGGAAGCAAGAATCTGTGGCATTTTATGGTGCTGATTTCATTGTGTGAAGCCACATCCCATACGTATGTCTCAACAGCACCAACAGGATCAAAACTATTCCCATTTAGTCTTGGCTGTGCATGCACAGGAAGGAGCCACAACAGGCAGCTGTGCTTTAGAGGTAGTCCATCTTGAGAACTTTTGTCAGCTTCTAAACATAATTTCAGCAGTAATCATTGTAATAA